CGCAGCTTTTCCACACATATTTTAATGGGTGGATAACTATAATAAAACAGGCTCTGCTTCAGTATGGTTTGTGTCAAGCCATTCATTAATCTGGCTGTTTGATGAAGAGATAAAATGTAGTAGAAATAAACATGTTAAGAATCAATAGAAGCGGAGGACTATTATTTAAGGTTTTTTTTAGGACTATTATTATGTTGTAATGTTTGGTTGACCAATTAGCAGAGAGGGGCGTTTCATTCCCGCCCACATGTAGAGATCGAATATTCAAATCGTTTATTCGTTTTCTATCCCTGAATGTAAAAACGAAAAATTAAGCCGGATTCTTGATTTTTCGTTTTGTTTGAATAATTGAAAAACGAAATATGTGCCCGTTTTTCATTTTTCAGATTTCAATATTAAAACAAAAATTGATTGGACGGAAGATACCCTGATTGTATTTAAATACAAAATAGTATTTTGTATTTCAAATGCATGTATTTGAAATACTGCCCATTCCTGGCTGTTAGTAAGTTACAGATATTTCAAGTTATTTATAGGAATGATGACAGGCATCATGCTTACCATGGTCATTTTTCTGAAGGGTTACAAGAGCTCGTGGAATAAAAAGAACATACAAGAATCTGCAAGCAACTGAAATAACCTACAAACCTACTACCAGTTCATGATAAAATACAGGTGGCGTAAGCATGATAAAAAGCGAATACACATGTTTGTATTGTGCAGTGTGTCTCTGCTATTCGACGCTTCAACCCACGTGACCGGAAGTAAATACGGTTCAGCAGCAGTTCCCGCGTTTGGCGACTCTTGTCTTTCAATCACTAGCGTAAACTTGAAGTAGCAGCCAGTCGTTCCGGATATGGATGACCTGTATTTAGACAATATTGACGAATTTGTCAATGATCAAAATAAGATCGTAAGTCGTTTTTTAGAATGGTATCGTTCTTGTCATCGTAAATGTGAAATGTTGGTTGATATACCAAAATGCTTTCAAGTGGCATGCTTGTTTACTTGATTGTTCAGGGCTGGGGACCACGAGAAATATCGGTAACGTTACCGAATGATTTGTTCCGGATATGGATGACCTGTATTTAGACAATATTGACGAATTTGTCAATGATCAAAATAAGATCGTAAGTCGTTTTTTAGAATGGTATCGTTCTTGTCATCGTAAATGTGAAATGTTGGTTGATATACCAAAATGCTTTCAAGTGGCTGCATGCTTGTTTACTTGATTGTTCAGGGCTGGGGACCACGAGAAATATCGGTAACGTTACCGAATGATTTTCATGCCGTTCTTTTCCGTTAACATTTTTTTCTGTGCAGTCTGTTTTCCGAATGACATTTATGAGTTGGTTATTTTTAGTGAAGCAACCACATGCGCGATCCCATGTTGCATCTTAACTTAATCAAATCCGACTCTAAGCGAACAAAAAAAAAATGGTACTACACTTAATGCTAGTAAGAAATCAGTTTAGTTACTGACAGACTGTTAACGTGTTGTTAAAGATACACAGTACGAGGTTTATAGTAATCAAATGCCATTATTCAGTCTATACAGACTAAGCATGAGAATAGTTATTAGCTGCATTATCAACTATTCAGCATTTATATTTTGATTTTTGCAGGTCACCTACAAATGGCTCAGTTTAACTCTTGGAGTCCACGTCAACATAGCAAAACAGTAAGTCCTGTCCTTTTTTACGACACTTTTAAGGTATTCAAGCATCTGATGATCTGTTGGAATCACTAATGGTCATGTAACATTTTTGCAGAATGTTGTATCATTACCTGCAGCAGAAACGTAACGAAAGTTCAGGCACTCCCCTTCATGCCACCTACCTAGTATCTGGGAAGTGTGTTGAGAATGGTAGTACGGTAAGGGTTGAGATCTGATAATTGCTTCCCAAATAATTATTATTTTAAGATCTGCAGTTGAATGTTTTCCATTGCTTTTAGTGCCACAAAGTGTCAGTAGTACGTGAGGACAAGCTTGATGGTAAGATGACCATATTTATATCTGTAAATTACAACAAAAAAGCATTAATAATAGGCAAAAATGCATTAATCCTGGGCTAAAAAATGTTAGGCTTCTCTAATCTCACATAGGGGATCTTATATTTATACTTATAATCTTTATAATTTAAAATATATTAATAAAATATATATTTTAATTTATTCTGTGTTCTATTATCATTGTGTTGGCATCATTTTAATTTCATTTTAATTTATATTTATTAATTTAAAATATAAATTAATTCATATAAATACACAATTTATTTTAATATTTAATTTTATTATATAAAAGCAGGAAATATAGGAAGAAAAAAACATTTATATAATATTTCATGTGATTTTCATTTTTAAATATTCAGTTGAGGAATTTGTTTTTGACAGCTGTTAAAGCAAAGATGGACGTGACCATCAGTGTGCATGTGTACAGTGTGCAGAGAGCCGAGCTGAAGGATAGTTCACCACTTTACAATACAGATTATGATGCTGTTAAGGAGAACCTAAAAAACTGCAACAAGTAAGTGATGCTCATATAACCTGTAATGTCACGTGCATGCATCATATGCTAAAGTTGTGCCACATCCAATATCTCTGGTCTTTCCTCAGGTACAGCGCTATACGTTGTGCTGCGGCGGTCTCTTTGTCATCTGCGGAACTGCAAAGAGCTCAAGAGATGGCTTTGGTCCCTCCAGTGGAGAAAGAAATCAGTAAACCTGGCTTGAATGAAAACACTTCAGCTACCTCCAAACCCAGTGCTAAGCAGCCAGCAGGCATCATGGGAATGTTTGCAAGTAAAAATGCTTCTAAGAGCCAAGAATCCAGCAAGGAAGTGAAAACAGAGCAGAAAGAAGATTCTTCTCTGGTTAGAGTGTAACTCTATAGTTTAATGTTGATGGAACACAAGAGTGTGTGTGAAATTTATAATGGTTTCCTATGTTGTAGGTTGAAACATCAAAAAGCAAAACAGCCTCCAAAGTGAACCCGATGAGTAACTTCTTTGGGAAGTCTGCCCAAAGTGAGTGTTTTTCTTTCTTGTCTGCCAAAAAAAAATGCAAGAAACAATGCGTAACAAAGTAAACTAAACAAAACATTTTCCTCTGAAATTTAGAAAAGGCTGATGAAAAACCTAACAAAAGCATTAAAGAAGAGATGAACGGCAGCTCAACAGCATCGGCTACTGCAAGTATGAAACAGTCACAGACATCTCCCAAATCTGAGATTGACATTAAAGAGGAACAATCCAAAGTGTCCAATGCTTTGAAGGTTGAATCAAAAGACACTCGGAAGTAAGGTTTACTTTTTTTTTTCCTCCCTTTTTGAAGTAAATGTGTATTTATACTTTTATTTATATATATATATATATATATATATATATATACTCATCTCATAAATGTGAACTAAAAGCTACATATGCTTCCTCCAAGTAAAACAAAGCGCCCTGAGTTTGTAGACCGTGACGATGAAGAAATAGAGAGCCAGCAGAAGAAGAGACGGAGGATAAAGAAGCCCCAGCCAGACAGCAGTGATGATGAGGGTAGGAAAGAGATAGGGGGTAATAAAAACGGGGGGTGGAGGCTCAAGTCATGCTTGGCAGATTTGAATCAGTCCAGATGAGGCACTCTGACCCAAAATGAAGAAAAACAAAGAAATAGGTTCCCCCTCTGGGCAGAGTGCTGAATAAAATATCAAAATTGCTCTGACAAACAAAAGCTAATTGATAACATTCATTGTTTCTTCCCTTATTCTCTCTCTCTTTCTTCCGTCTGTCTGTCTATAGACTTTTATACTTGACATATGTCTCTTCTTCCCTCTTTCAGTTGTGCCAGATTCTCCACCTGTGCATAATGTACACACTCCCAGCCCTAAAAAACAAGTGAAGAGAGAGCCTGTTTCACACCAAGAAGTAAGCATTACCAACATCAATAATTACTAGCTTTTTTAGAAGCAATTTCCAAACACTCCTACAGGAAGTCCCACCTCAAACTCGACATGCCAAAATGCCAGGTCAGTCAAACCAGTAGGGTCAAGGTTAACATGGGCCGTTAGCTACTGCCGATAGATGGCGTAAGAGAACTCATTCATGACCATTCAAAAGTAGTCATCTATTCATACGAAATGCTTTTCTTTCTTTTTTTTGCAAAGAAAAACACTGTGTGCTGTTCTCTTGTGACTAACAGATATCGATATACAAGTCATTAATTTACACACACATCTCATTTGTATTTTCCATACAGTAAAATTGTCATTGATTATGTTCTTGGCTCGTTCAGGAGAGTTCAGAGGTGAAGAGGAGGAAAAGAAGGCGTGTTTTGAAGTCTAACACATTTGTTGATGAAGACGGTGCCTTTGGTAAGTATGATGTCAGTTGGCATTTTCCATAGTTTTGATTAATGTTCCACAAATTTTTGGATGGCTGATACCAATATCTTAAGAGAGCAGGATGGCCGATATAAAGCTGATATATGGTTTTAAACTTTACTAACAATTAACAATTGCTGCCAATGACATTTATATTTATTTGACATATTTTGTTAATTAAAATAATAAAAAAAAACAATATAAACAAGCATTCTTAGTGCTTTGAAAATAAAAGTCTAGTCGATGTCAAAATAAATGCTAGTCGAACATAACGTTTTGGCAGTTGCTGAAAAAAATGGCAAATATCAATTGATATTGATCTGCTCCACGTACATGAATAATCAAATGCATCATAATCTGTTATATAAAGGATAATGATTTTAAAAATGCATCGTATTTAACAATTGGTTTCAATGCAAATAATGTTTTATTAACAGAATTTGTGGCACTTATGTCAGTTGCCATGTACATTTGTTTCTGCTCATCTGTTTTATTCTTTTGTAGTTACAATAAAGGATTTACAGTAGAAGTACACGGGGCCAGTAAATAAATATGACAATGCACAGTGTTTTAAAAGTTAGGTAATTTTAAAAAGGTAATTCACATTATGCTTACCCTTTGTTTCCAGTTTAACCTGAAAGATTTCTTTAAACAGGGTGCATAACATTGGCTGAACTCTCTCCTTACTTTTACAAGCACATCGTTTATAAGCACTGACAGAAACACTTAAACCATCGAGTAAATCATAAGTTATATGACAGAAATACAGACGGCTGGCAAACTATTTTTTGCTAAAACTGTTTATTTGAGATTATTTTTGACTTTATGACTTTATGTGGAGGAAATCTTCATGTTTGAAGACCAAAAGCACAAATGTGTGTTTGATTCCTATAACTTTGCACCACTGGTATTATTTTTGTACTTAGCAGTGTCTAATATTACACATTCCTTAATGCCAGTTGTCTGTTCAGCACAAAAACTTTGAAGTGGATTTTTTTTATTGTATGTTAACCAAATTCATGTGTTTTTTTTTCTTTCTTTATTTGCTTGTTATTATACATGATTGACCAGACCAAGATTTATAGCATAGCCAGGAATGTGTATTGTTCTAAAACCTAGTGTGTTGTCTACAGAGGCAGTAATTTAAGACATAATAATAAGCACAATGTGAAGGCTGTTAATATTAATTACGCTGCCTAAGGAACTTTCTTTTGGCCAAAAAGAATGGCAACTTTGCAAAATCACTGTGACAGAGTAAATCCCCGTGCATATATACAGACCCCAAACCAGACACTTATATTCACCACATGCGTCTTGACAATGAATAACCAATGTTTCTGTTTTCCTAGTGACCGAGAAGGGTTATGTGAGCGTGTCTTACTCTGAGAGTGAAGAGGAGCCTGAACCCAACAGTCAAGCCAAATACTCGAGCTCACTCAAGCAGTCATTTGGAAAAAGAAAGGAAGAGAAAAGAGAAAAGAGTCAGAAGAAGACCTCTACTGCTAACAAACCTACAAAACAGCCATCCATCATGGGATTTCTCCAGAAGAAATAACTTTTTTTTTTTTTATTATTCTTTCGTGGAATTTAAAGGAATAGTTCACCTGGAAGCGAAAACGCGAGGATGAAGAAATAATGCCTTCATGTTTTTTCGGGTGAAATATCCCTTTAAGCACTTAATTTTCAGCAGTGACATTCCCATGAACCACATCTGATGCTGTAAGGAGGAAATCAATCTTCATTGTCGCTGTCACTCTTCAGAGACATTGAAACAGGAGATTTCTGCTTCTACATGAACAACACTTATCCATTCAACTTCACTTGCTGGATTTCAGTTCTGGGCCTGATAGGATTGTCTGTTGTAGTATGTAAATGTATGATCCTGCTGATCGAGCAGATTTCTTTACTATAAGCCAACCTGCACATGGCCAACCACCAATAATTCCCATACTGCCAGGTTTGTGGAGTCTGTCTATTTTTAGTATGTTTCTAGATAATAAATCAAAAGATAAAATAATTTTTCTTTTTGTTTGCATTGATATTCTTGTAAAAGAAATACCAATTGGTTCAGAAATTTCTCTGACATTCATTAGTTAAGTCCATTATTACTCTGCTCAGTGGTCAAGATAATGTTTTTCTCTTGCTGTCTTGTTTGGTTCCGGTGAGTCAAGTTGTTTTCTCCTCCGAGCTTCATATTTCTATATGACATCAGTTTCTGGCTCCATAGTTGTGTTGATCTTGGACATTTCCATTTATCAAAACTAAACTTACTGTGTGGAAAGGCATGCCTCTGGAAATGCACATCAAAATCAGTCCAAGCTCTTCTGATCCAGTGCCACAGACGTGAAATTGAGCGTTTTGTGCCAAGACATCATTCCCCATAAACTCACTTTTTTCCCTGAGGAAAGGCTCCTAAACTTAGGCCTGAGTTAGTATGTGCGATTGAATTCAAGAACAGAGTGTTCTTTATATTGTTGTAAAACATTTGTATTGTGCTTTCAAACCTGGGGTCCAGGAAAGTGAGAATTTCTGATTGCTTTGTATATTGAATAATCACAATTTTTACTCTTTGTGATCATTTGATATGTAAAAAAAAAAAGAAAAACACTTGGCACTAATTACCTTATCCAGCTGCATTCTGTGAAGAAAAACAATTTGGTTTTGTTTGTTTTGTGCAGTTAGGTGTTTGCTCGTTCCCTTGGCTCACCCTTGCAGGCCTCTCACTGGGCAGTCAGATGTAGACTGGGGTGAGGCGCCTGTACTGGATACCTTATCAAACAGCCGTTTAAAATTTTAGGTGCCTCATTGTCTGAGAAAATCCTTTGCTCGATTGCATAGCCGTCGTTGGAAAAATGCGGCAATGGTTTTGGCTCGCCAACGCTTCGGGAGAGTCCGGTTAACTGTTTCCAGGTTTACCTTCAGTCTTCAAAGGTGCACTTGTTCAGCTACCTGTTTGGATCCTTTTGGTTTCCATATAAACCACTAATGCACAACAATAATGGAACAATGAAAAAAAAAAAACTATATTAAATTGAAAAAGTGCAATTTGCAGCCTGATTGCTAGTGAAGAATACTGGCTGCATTTTTAGATATTTATGTCATGATTTACTCATCCTCTGGTGAGGTAGGATATTACACAATACTATTAAAAATCTAATCGAAAAAAACCGAGGTATGGAAGCCCAAATTGGAAAGGTAACTGGGACTTTTTATCTCACAATTCTGGCTCCTTTTTCGCAATTCTGAGAACTGGATTATTTTGAAATTGCAAGAAAAACTGTCGGAATTCTAAGCTTATATCACACAATTCAGATTTTTTTTCTCTGAATTCTGTGTATATGTCGCTATTCTGTTTACCTCGCAATTCTGAGAAACAAAGTCCAAATTGTGAGATTTTTTATTCCACAGATGAATCAAGCTTCTATAATAAGGTTTATTTTCCATTAAAGAAAAATAAATGGCAAGAGTCATCGTTTACCACATCCATTTGTGTAACACTTAAAGGGGTCATATGATGTTGCTAAAAATAACATTATTTTGTGTATTTGGTGTAATGCAATGTGTTTATGCTGTTTAAGGTTCAAAAAACATTATTTTCCACATTATGTACATTATTGTTTCTCCTCTATGCCCCGCCTTTCTGAAACGCATTGATTTTTACAAAGCTCATCGTTGAAAAGCGAGGTATACGCTGATTGGCCAGCTATCCAGTTCTATCCAGTGATTGGCTGAATAGCTTAAGCTTGTGACGGAAATGTTACGCCCTTTACCATACTGTGTGTCCGTGTGTCCCGGCGCGACAAGATAAAACCCATAACAAAAGAGGCATTTGTTGCATCCAGTGGGGACATAATTACTGATTATAATGACTTACACTGTCTTTTTACGCTTTGCGTTGCGTATTGCGCCGCGTAAACATAAAACCATGTCTGCATTTGTGATCGGAGAAATGACAAACAACAAGCACT